ACAAATATATAACACATATATATTATATCCATTAAGATGAGAATATATATTATATATATATATATATATATATATATATATATATATATATATATATATATAGATAAGATGAGAACGAATAGAATGGACAATTCCAACGTTCGGAACTTTTAAATCAAATTTCTAAAAAAAAAAATGATGTGCGATATCATTCATTTTAGGATATTACACCGAAAACACAAAATCGCTACACAATTGCAGTCGTCTTTCGACGCGTATCAATGCGTCTCACCAGCCGATTGTAAATTAATGGCGAGCGATTAATTTAGATTTAAAAGAAAACATACAGACACTTTTTCCGAAAAGAAGAAAAAGGGGTTTTGTGAGCTTTAGTTTGATCAACTAATCCAATATGACCTGATATATTTAGACGAAGCGAAGAAGCAATAAATTTAATAAAATATCTTTTATAAATACGTCATCACCCGTAGATTGGCAGCTAACGGCAGCCAGACATAAACTACAGCGGATGCAATGGTTATATAAATAACTAGCAGTAGAGCCCGGCGTTGCCCGGGGATGTAACAGTAAAAGATAGATCAAGTATCGACCATCATAAAGACTGAAAAATAAAATTGACAAAGATTATTGTTTAAGGTTGACGGACACGCAGGTCTTAATTAGTTTCTTTTTTTTTTTTTACGAATTGGTCAAACCCAGACTCAAAAAAAAACCATTGTTTTCAATCGTTATGGGTCTACCGATTGAATAGAATTTTATTATAAACAATTGTCTTGTAAATGAAATTTTTAAAGCATTCTGCATTTAAAATAAAAAAAAAAAGTGTGCAAGACAATAAGAAAACTACCTGCCAAAAAAAAATGAAGTTTTGTTGAAATCGGTTGAAAAATGTGGGAAATTGATCTCATATATAACAAACACACACACACACACACACACACACACACAACCTTTTTATAATAAGTATAACTCGATATGAGTTGTCCCCTTTCATTCTCGTAAGTTTGCCTGTTTTCAAATTGATTTCGTGCAAAAACAATTGTGTTTTTCCAGTTTTTGGCGCTGTTAGAACCACCGCAAGGTAATTTTACGTAGTCCTGTGAAGTTTTGTTGAAATCGGTTGAAAAATGTAGGAAATCCGATCCAATATATAAACGTACAGACACACACACACACACACACACACAAAATCTGCGTTTTATAATAAGGTGCAAACTAGACAAGGCCATTTCCTAAAAATTAAAAATGGGATGAGAGGTAATTTAACAAAATGCTAACCAAGTTATATGCTTTGTGAATTTCCTACATAATTTTTTTTTATAGTCGATAAATAAATAGCTTCTTTAAGAAACTAGTAACTAATTTAAGCTTATCGAATTATTTGTAATTAATTCTAATTGTTGAATAAAGATTCCTGATATAAGGTGTTTATTACACTAACCAATCAATGTAAAATATCAAAAATACCAAGACATCCGAACAACGTGTTACTGATACAACTGCGAGATTAATACAAAATTATATTAAATCCAAACTAATCTTACAACTTTTTAGTTCAGCTAGATTATATATATATATATATATATATATATATATATATATATATATATATATATATATATATATATATAATTTAAGCTCTAATTATGTATGGAAACTTTTTTTTAAAAAAAAAACAAAAATACTAACATGTTTTTTTTCCTATGAGAATTACATATCTGCATATATATATATATATATATATATATATATATATATATATGTATGTGTGTGTGTGTGTGTGTGTGTGTGTGTAGATAGAGATAAAGAGAGAGAGAGAAAGGTAGAGAAAGATGAATTTGGCTAGATTTGAAAAAAACATTTCAAATATTTTTAAATAAATTGTTTTAAAAAATTATTTCAAACTATTTTGAAACGACCAACATCTCTCGTTTATGCACATGTGTAGTCATAACAACATCAACAAACGCAGTCCGATAATGTCCTAACGGATGAAAAACATCCCAAATAATCTTTTTGCTAGTTTGTATCATAATTTCCTGATTACTCTTCTTGATTATCTGTCTATATTTCTGAGATGAGGTATTATGTACACTATTTACATTATTCGGACTATTGTCCTCATCTTTGTTATCATATTTATCACACCGTTTCGGCCCGAGCCGACCAAGCATAGAAATGAATACAATATGGGAAACAGTAATAAGAAGTGCCAGAGAAAAGCGATAATAACAATGAAAATTGCAATATGAGCTCTGGTAAAAACATATAATGATAACAGCAAAAAATTGCAATATGAGTACTGGTAAAAGAAGATTGCTGAAGACGTTTATATAATACCCAGAAATTCATACTCAGATGTCCTCAAGGACACATGGCTCAGTGGATAAAGGCGTTAGTTAGATCCAGTAATAGGATCCTAAGAGTGTGAGAGTTAAGGCAGTGGAGAACTTGGAGAGGTGGTATGGTGGTATTAACAGGAGATAAATGACATCCATCTATATATCGATATATATATATATATATATATATATATATATATATATATATATATATATATTATATATATTTAGGCAGCATCTTTTCATTCATACACGTTTCATTAAATAATATAGACAAGTGTTGTCTATTTATTTTATGTAAATTCTTTTCATAACGTCTAATAACATTATCATTGAACGAAGAAAGAAATTCACAATATTGATCCATATTTTTTAATACGATCTAAGCTTTCGGTTTACATAAGCCATTATCAAAGATGTCAATTACAACATATTAAGCAATATACGGACAAGACAGTGATGATAGTCTGTGATTGTTTACATAGATGATTTCTAAGCAAAGATAAACACGTGCATATAAGACGCTAGATTTGTGAGAGGAAAAATGTAAAGCTTATACGTTTAATACGTTTTATTTGTTAAAATAAATTGCTTGTACATTGGCATGAATAATTCTACTCTATTTATATTTAAACGTAACATTTCTCGTTTTTTTTTATGAAATTTTGGACGTAGTAAAATTTTAAAAATTTATAATAAAGCAAGTGATATAACATTTGTTTATCTTTTAGTATAGTCGATTTCTTTCTCTATAATTTATCATTCAAATCGTTTTTAACAACATTTGACAATAATTTTTCTTTTATTCTTTTCTTATCTATTGATTGTGTACGATTATTTATCATTTGAACATAAATTTTGATAATAGTAATCTTCAGGTGGTTGGAATATCAATCTGAAATTTTCATTTTGCTTTTGGGGTAGAGAAAAGTTCTGTTCCATCAAAGCCATGTAATTTCAAGGAAATTTGGATAAAGGCGTTAGTCAGATCCAGTGACAGGACCCAAAAAGATGTGAGTTCAATACCCGGTTATTCTGGTTAAGAAACTGGAGAGGGGAATTGACAAGAGATAAATGATAGCTGACATCCATTAGACATGGCACGTGGAACTAGAACAGTCTACCCATGTGAGCGAAATAAAGGGTTTAGTTCGACATTCCATACACCTGAAGAAGGCCGGAGCGTACAAAGGCCGAAACGTTGTAATAAATATAAAACAAAGATTTGACAAAGTCCGAATAATGGAAATGAAAATAATACGTCATCTAAGATATATAGACATAATGAAAGGCCGAAACGTTATAATAAATATGAAAAATATCAGAATAATAAATAAAACACATTACCTTTTCAGAAATATATTTTTATACGAAAGTGCCGAAACGTTGTAATAAATATGACAAAGATGAAAATTAAAGTCCGAATAATGTAAATAGTGTATTTAAATATATTAAATAAATATAGAAATATAAACATATACTGAAGGCCGAAACGTTTTATTAAATATGGCGACAAAGATGAGGACAATAGTCCGAATAATGTAAATAATGTGCATCGTACCTCATCTCAGAAATATAGACAGATACTGAATAGTAATCTAATGACAAGGAAAGGTCCATTTGACAACGGGCTGTTTACTACGGCATCCTGTTTAATACGCCGTATATGTGTGTTAACGCGGGGACATAAAATACCTCGGTTGATGTCTGTACGCGCGGTTAAACACTGGGAGATAAGAGATCCCCTTAGTTCTTTTTAGGACATCTCCCGAAGAAAAGGAAAATTCTGATTTAAAACCTGTGAGTATTTAAGCATCTGACATGTGGCAAACCGCTCACCAGTGCAGGCCAATGTTGTTTTGATGGTGTAAGAGTGCATTGGTCTGCACAAGGAATGATATCAGTAAAAAAAATGTCATGGGTAGGTTACTCAGTAAACATCAGCGTACATTCCTAAAAATTGTGTTTTAATCCGGCATTTCTTTTTTAATCCGACATTTTCTTTTACAGTGCTGAAAAGGAAAACCTGATTGAACTAAATGATTATTCGTAGAGATTCGGTTTTTTGCTATGCAACAGCGACATATGGGGTGGGAGCTGTGCTACGACCTAATAAACACACCCTGTCATGAGACTGACGATCACATGATGATGATAATGTAAGTTTATTCTATAGCAGTAATTTTACAAAGGAGAGATAACAAATGTTTCAATGAACGCTATCGAAGTCGCACCTTCGGTTTTCGACCATTTTCTTTTATTTATTTTAGGCAGAGAAACTTTACACAAGACCTCCTTTGCCTGATAAGCACACAGAAAGAGAGGAATTGAATGAAGAAAACAGAAGGGTTTTTTTATTATTATTCTTAAGAATTGGTGCAAATAATGTTAATTTGTGCTTCTTTGATGCATAGAAAACAGATTTGCTTTGGCAAATAAGAAGCTTTTTGCCAAATGGAACACGGACGTAGATGAAAGCAAAGTATGATTCTTCTCTGTTGCCAATAAAACATCTTGGATACGCGGAGTCAAACGTTTAATACATTATCAATAAGAAAAAAAGGAAAAATGCCAATAATTTTTAAAAAAAAATAATATTCGATGAGGAATCAATATAATATCGAAACTATTAATAAATACTAGTTGAAGTTAAGCAACGTCGAGCCCCGTCAGTTCTTCCTGAGAGAAAAAAGAAAATCTAAGGACAAATAAAAAATTTTGAATAAAAACGACCAAATAGACATTGTTAAAAATTAATTTTGAAAAAAAAAAAAATATATATATATATATATAAATATTATATTTTATTTGTGTCAAAAATTTTAATTTACAAACTTTTAAACATACACACACAAATACATAAATAAATACATATCTATATATGCATATATAAAAACATTTATATATATATATATATATATATATATATATATATATATATATATATATATATTATTTATTTAATTTATATAATAAATATGTTATAAAATTTGAAAACATAGCCATTTTGTTTTAAACAAAATGGCTATTTTTATGGGATTTTATAACATATTTATGTTATAATTTAAAAAAATAATCATATCTGACTCAAATATATGTATTGAGCACTCTTTTAAGAATTATAATTTTTGATTAAAGAATTTATTCCGTTATACACATTCTATTTTTTTTATATATAAATATATATATATATATATATATATATATATATATATATATATATATATATATTTTTGTGACCTTAGATTTTAATTTTGTGATCTTCATATAAAACGATTTTTAATGAAGATCATGAATTTTAATATATATATATATATATATATATATAGCCTTAAACAAAACGGACGTCATACCTAATGTGCATAATCCAATTTTTTTCAACAAAGGTATTCGTTGGCAATATAAATGAGTATAAAGAAACACTAAAAAAATAAAAATAAATGAGCAAGGAAAGGTGGAAATGGCACTAAAATGCAAATTTACTTACTCAAAATTAAAATTGAATAAAACGTGGTTGAAAAAAATATATATTTTTCACAAGAGTTTTAATGAAAAGAAAAGGGGGGGATTTAAACTAATCCAACAGAACATTAAGGAACAAAAAAAATGTTCAAATTGTATGTATTCAGGATAGGCTATTGATACTTAATGAAAAACGGTATCATTTTTCGAAGATGGTGTATGGAGCGAACATTGTGTAAAACGGAAAACCAATGTCTTCGTGTTCAGTGGTACAAGAATGGTTGGCAAAAATTTTGAAAAATTGCAGACTCATGGAATGCCTGATATTTCTTCTATACATATATGGATAAGACTTTCCAGAACGCAAAATAGGCGGGAACATGCTGCGCAACCCGCGTCTCCAAACTTAAAATGGTTCGTCTTATGTACACTGCGTCACAACGGCATTTGAATTTATAAACAACTAAATTCTTATGAAAATAGGACAACCTATTTTTAATAAAGGCCGGAAGAAAAGGTCTAGTATGAAAAACTGTGCGAAACTTAACAGCATTATAGGAAGACGAAATAGACGCCGAATTTTTTTGTCTGATACTAGCTGACATTCCTATCAAGAAAGGTATGAAAAATATATAGGACACTGACTAGGTCCAAAAACCGCAGGTTCTTTAAACCGCCTGATTTTGCTATCAATAATTGGCCTGATAACATTAATGGGATATCCATTAATTTCAGAGGAACAAGAAATGATATTTAAATGGATGTAAAATTTCAATTAGACCAATCTTGCGGGACTTAGGAACAAACGAATTTCAGCATACAAAAATTGTCATGTTTTTCGTAAGCCCACATTTACTGGTCTATACACGACCTGGAATTCGTGACAATGACAATTCATAGGTAATATATAAACGGAATCTGTGGAGGGTCATAAATGCCTACGCCCTGAAGTGACATCGCATTTATAAAAAGAAAGAATTTTCTTAGTTTTAATTTTTTACTCGTTATTCCTTTTTATCTAGCAAAAAAACATTATTTGCGCATATAGAAATATATTATATATCTGAAATATTTACTAAAAGGTATGGAAGATTGTAAAAGTTATTTATATATAAAAAATAATGACCTATATAAACAAATTTCCTTGAGTAAAAGATCTTACAAAAAAAGAATTTTTAGAACAGATGAAATTAATAAACAAAAAACTCGTATCTTATAAAGAATCTTTAAGGAAAATTTAGTTGATAATACAAGGATTTTTTCCACAAAAATTTTTTAAAGATATGAATGTATGTGATAGATTCATGGAAGATTGAAAGTTTAAAAGTTAGAAAAATATATATATACATCGATATAACTGAAATATGGATAAATCGGTAAAAACACGTCAATTATATGACGGTTTGTATAGGATACAGGTTCGAACTATGTAAGGAATAACGAATATTTTATATGAAAATTTATAAGAAAGAAAGGCCGTTAATTGTTATTCAATACTATTTATTAGAAAACAGAGCATTTATTTAAATATTTTTATCTATAAAAAGAATGTTGAAATAAAAATGTTTTAATATATATATATATATATATATATATATATATATATATATGAAGAAAACTGTTAGCAGATAACAAATATGATTAGAATATAGAAAGAAAGAAAGAGAGAATCGATGGATTCCTGTGGAGAAGGAAAGAAAGAAAAAAAAACAAAGAAAATTTTATTTGAAGAAATGAAATAAAAAAGAAAAGAACAAAAAGCTCAACCGTAAAGAAAGAAAGAAAAGATAAATTGAATTTACTTTTGCAAAAGATAGGATTCTGTGAAGAAGGAAATAAAGCAAGAAAGCAAGCCGTGATGAAAGAAAGGATTCCATACCGAAAGAAAGAAAGAACGATGGAATCCGTGAAAAAAGATAGTAAGAAAGAAGGAAGGAAAGGAAGGATTTCGTAAAGAAACAAAAAGAAAAGAAGGAAGGAAAGGACCGCTAAGAAAGAAAAAAGATAGAAAGGATTGAATGAAGAAAGAAAGAATGCATTTCTTAATAAAAGAAATATGAAGAAAGAAAAGAAAATAGTAGTGACGAAATAAAAGAAAATAAAGAAAGAAAAATGAAAGAGAAAAAAAAGGAAAAGAAATCAAAGAAAAAAAACGTGACAAAGATAAGTGATGAGAAGACGAAAAAAAAGAGATGAAGACAATGGTAACGGAATGAACCCTAGGCAGAAGCTAGATAAAAATAAGCCACTCACTCCAACGACGCAAGAAAACAAAAATTTAACCTTTATAAGAACATTTAAGAAACAGTGGCCAAAAAAATGGCGGACGGGAGAAAGAAAAACCGAAGACAAAGAAGACAAACGTCAAATAACGGAAGTGATTGGAGACGGAAGGAAAGAATGCGATTGATGTCACATGACTGATGCGCTTATCTTTTCGCTTGAGTAACCAAATCTGTTCGGTGGAAAGTGAAGACACGGACAAAAGAATAGAAACGGAATGAAATGGCGCAAGCTTTATTGAAACCACTTCATTATTGAAGTCACATGAGAAAGGGGACGAAATAGGTAGGAATAGGCACGCCATTATTATTATTATTATTGAAATTATTATTATTATTATTATTATTAGTTTCAGACGGAGCTGCTTTTATAGACAAAAGTATAATTATTCTTTGAAAAATATTATATATATATATATATATATATATATATATATATATATATATATATATATATATATATATATATATGTATTTATATATATATATATATATATATATATATATATATATATATATATATATATATATATGTATGTATATATATATATATATATATATATATATATATATATATATATATATATAAAAAAGGAGAATATTTCAAATCGTAGTTAAATAAAAAGATATTAAAAAAAAAAAAAAATGAATATCTTTAAATTTTAAAAATGACGAAAAAAATTTTTTTACCGTTATTTTTTTTTTTTTTTAAATTCAGACGACATCCATTCAACTGATGTCAGGTTTCATTGTAAAATACATCCCTACCCCGTACCAAATTGTAGCTAATAACTGATACAATGATACTGACATAAGGAAAATCTAGACATCCCTTGTTCAATTTAAGTAGAATATTCTGTAACCATGGAAACGTGATTTTAGCTGTGTCTTTAAAACCCGGTAATTTTAAAAAGTTACTCCAAAATTCGCTTGAAGATGAAATGGAACTAATGCTTTTAATTTAATTGCAAAATTAAATTCGGGGTTTTTAGCTTCTATTTTTGAAACATGGTTGGAACTGTGTAGCGAAAAAAAACATATTTTAAATCAATTAATTTATAATATATGTATATATATATATATGCAAGAAAAAAAAGGAAAGCAAGAATGTCTTTCAGTTGTTACTAGATTTTCTTTCTTTTTTCATTTTTCTTTCAGTTTTCTTTCTTTGATTCTTTATGACGATTTTCTTTTTTTTATTTCTTTATGACTATTTCTTTCATTAAGGAATGCTTTCTTTCCTTCTTTCTTTCTTCACGGAATCCTTTCTTTCTTTTCACGGAATCCTTTTTTTCTTCATGTAATCCTTCCTTCCTTTTTTTCTTCACGGAATCCTTTCTTTCAATCTTACTTCACGAAATCCTTTCTTTTCTTTTTTTACTTTTGTTGGAATAAAAATCCTCCTATGGAATTTTCCCTTTTTTTTTATTTCTTTCTAATTTATGGATTCTTTAATTTCTTTCTTAGGATTTCTTTCGAATAATCTGTTCACTTTCTTTCATTTAAATTTCTTTATTTCTTTTGAAATTTTCTAGAAATAAATCCTCCCTTTCTTTATTTGTTATTTTTTTAAATATTTCATTTCTTATTTTCTTTCTTTCTTCCCGGAATCCTCCCTTTCTTTCTTTCTTCTTTCCTTAAGAATTCTTTCTTTCTTTCTTTCTTTTTTTCTTTCTTCCGAAGAATCCTATTTTTCTTTTAATTTTTTTTTTCAGAAAATTTTCTTAATTTTAAAAAAGCATTTCAAGAAAACCTCCCTTTCCATATTCATGTTTTTTCTTTTTGAAATTAAAAAAAAATAAAGGAATGTTCCCTTTCTTTCTGAATTTTTTTCTTTCTTTAAAGATTTCTTTATTTTATTTCGTTTTGACGACAATCTTTGCTTTTCTTTTTCCAATATAATATATATAAATATTTTTTAGAAAAAGATAAAAAAATTTCACCATATAATTTTAAATCAGGAAAATTTTGTTATATTGTTTCAATTGAATTGAATAAACATATTATTTTTCAAGGAATAATTTTGAAAAGTTTTTAAATTTTTAAAATTTTCAGATTATTTAAAATTTTTTTTTTTTTAATTTTAATATTAAAAATCATATAAAGAAATAATTATTAGTTAGTAAAAATTAGAAAGAAATATTACTTCGTATTTAAAATTCAAATAGCTATAATAGCAGGATTTTGATTTTCAAACTTTTGAATAAAAAAATACTTAATTTTTTGATTGGTTATTCTAAATTTTTTATTAACAATGTATCCCCTATATTAGGAAATTAATTAATCTGAAACTTTTAAAACCATTTATTTTATTTTCATGAAAATCACTTGATAAGACACAGAAATTTTTGAAAAAAAATTTTTATTTTTGTAGTGATTTTTATAACATACTTATGTTATAATTTTTTTATAAAATAATTATATATGCTCTACTTTTGTATTGAGCATTTTTAAGAATAGTAATTGTTGGTTATTGGAATTATTTATGTATACCAATTATATACTTTGATAATATATATATATATATATATATATATATATATATATGTTTACGGAATAAGAAAAAATAATTAGAATATATATATATATATATATATATATATATATGTGTGTGTGTGTGTGTGTGTGTGTGTGTGTGTGTGCATGTATGTATGTATACGGATTACCAAACAATACAATTAACTATATATATATATATATACGGATTACCAGGCAATACAATTAACTATATATATATATATATATATATATATATATATATGTGTGTGTGTGTGTGTGTGTATATACAGACCTTATAAGTATTGTCAATAACGACAATGTTCTTATTGGTATTGAAATCGTTATTATAAATGAAGATATGACCTGTCATACGCAAATATAATCGCTGTCTTGTTCCGTAACAAGTCACCGTCTTGAAATAATACGGATCACTGATCACGTAGTATAACTACTCCAGGCAAAATCAGCTTGTCGTGCCGGTTCTCCTATCATCTTCGGGTTGTGACGGAAAGTCTTATCGCTTTTTCTCTGATTCGAATGCGAACCGCAATCAATGGGACGGGAATAACAAGCTTCTCGTTTTGCCTCCCTCCTTCCGACAATTTAAATCAGACAAGGAAAAATGTCACGTGATGTTCTATCTCCCTTCGGAAGAGGAGCCTCGTTTTCACGGAATTTTAATGCGACCTTTCAACACTGTTACTTTCGAGCCTTCATCACTCCAGAAATAAATTCTTTGTGCATTGGGTTGGGACAAAATATAGGAGCGTTCTTTTCAACAGCTAACTTTTCAATGGTAAAAATTGAATGGCAATATTTCATTGCTATCGTTTTAATAGTAACAATTCAATGGTAATATTTTAATGGTATCTTTGCAATGGTAAAAATTCAATGGTAATATTTTAATGGTATCTTTTCAATGGTAACACTGTAATGACAATAGTTCAATGGTAACGTTAGAATGGTAATAATTCAATGGTAATATTTCAATGTTTACATTTCAATGGTAACAATTCAATTGACATCTTTTAATAGTATCGTTTCAATGGTAACAATTCAATGGTAAATTTTCAATAATAATAACATTTCAATGATAACAATTCAATAGTAAAATTTCAACGGTATTATTTCAATGGTAACAATTCAATGTCATATTTCAATGGTATCTTTTAAATTGTAACAATTCAATGGTAACTTTTCAATGGTAACAATTTAATCGTTATAATTCAATGATATCGTTCAAATGGTAACAATTCAACGGTAACTTTTCAATGGTAACAATTCAATAGTAATATTTCAATGGCAGCATTTCAATGGTAACAATGGTAGCATTTCAATGGTAAAATTTCAATGCTAACATTTCAGTGGTAATATTTCAATGGTAACAATTTAACGGCAATACGTCAATCGTAACGTTTCAATGGTAATATTTCAACGGTAACGTTTCATTGGTAACAATTCAATGTTAATATTTCAAAGGAAATGATTCAGTGGTAACATTTCAATGTTAACTTTTCATATGGCGGAGTAATGAATACCGGATCGGACTGAGATATCGGAGTTCCGAGGTCGAATTCCAGTCGTGTTCATTACATTCACTTACGTAATAATACCCTTGGGAAAGGCATGAATCCAACTCTTCTGGTCTGAAGAGGCACGGTAGAATAATGGATTGAAGCTCGGATTGAGGAATCGGAGAGTCGAGTTCGAATTCCAGTCGAGTTCATTACATTCACTTACGTGCTAATAACCTTGGGAAAGGCATGAATCCAACTCTTCTGGCCTGAAGAAGCACGGTGGAGTAATGGATTGTGGCTTGGATTGAGGAATCGGAGAGCCGAGTTCGAATTCCAGTCGAGTTCATTACATTTCACTTAGACTTGGGAAAGGCATGAATCCAACTCTTCTTGCCATGAAGAGGCACGGTGGAGTAATGGATTGCGGCTCGGATTGAGGAATCGGAGAGCCGAGTTCGAATTCCAGTCGAATCCATTACATTCACTTACGTGCAAATATGAATCCTCTTCTACGCCCCCCCCCCCCCAAGGCAACGAGCGGGGAGAGAATTGGTGGGGTCATACCTAAACAGAATCTGATGAACAAACAAGAAATTGATGTGGATATAAAGTGAGGGATCAATTCTATATTACAATCAATATATAAACCGAAGTCTCACTTTGTGGTCATGTTAGTTTCCATACATTTATATTCCAGAGAATGTAAATAAATCTAAAAGACATGTCTAGGCAGCTAATCAGTATTTCTCAGATTGATTTGTTTTTTATGACTTATCAACCCTTTGCAGGTTATTTAAAGTAAGAAAATATTTTTAGATTGTAAGAATTTTCTTTTTAGATTATACTGATTTGGTGTTACAAGTCTTACTATTTAATCCATAGCCATAGTTAATTCACCTCTCCAAGTTCTCCACTGCCAGGACCCAAAGAATTGTGAGTTCAATACCTGGTTAAGGCTGAATTATCAGGAGATAACTGATAACTGACATCCATTAGACATGGCACGTGGAACTAGAAAAGTCTACCCCAGTGAGCGAAATAAAGGGTTCAGTCCGACATGCCAACCACCTGAAGAAAGCCGGAGCGTACAACGGCCGAAACGCTGTGATAAATATGGTAACAAAGTTTTTTTTTTATATATAAAAATATATATTGCTGGTATTTTTTACTATAAAAATTGAGTTTTATACATTCATAGTGTTTCTTTTGGTTTGGGGCCTCACTATTTGCCAACAGGTGGGACCCTATCAGGTGCTACCACCCCTGGTGGACTTGGGAACAACAGTCAT